TAATGGAATCGCCTTTTACCATCAAAACGATATCCGTAAGCAGCAGCGTTACGGACATCAACTAATGAAGGATTTCTGTTCTTGAAGAAGCTTCCATGCGAGAACGGTGCTCTTGCGTTTCCATTACGTATACCATACATTTCGCGTGGGTAAAATGCTGCAAACGTACCGTTGGGTGGAATTACATTTTTCAACTCGACATCTTCTGGATCGTACGCCAGTGAAGTAATAAAACACGTTAATGTGAACAGCACAAAAAACACTAAGCTATATTTGTACTGTGGGAAATATAGGTAAAAAAAAAACATCAGCAAGAAACAGGTAACAATTATAGCGAATTCGTTTATTATTGGAGTTGGAACCAGTTCCAACCTAGTGCGAAACCGAACTTTTTGTCAATGCGAACCTCAACCTGAGCTGTTTTAAAAACAAACGAGCAAACTGACGTTTGTCAGAAAACAAGCAGACCCAATCTTGATACCCGATCCAGGTTAGAACTAAATAACAAACGAATTTCGCTATTAAGTAAATATATACACTTACCATATTACTAGTTTATCATGAGATTCAAGTAAGAATGTCAATTTCGCCGTACTGATAATATGTTCAGGCTCTTCCTGAGCTTAATAAGTATTATATTATTTGAGCATAATACCCAGTATTTGGAGAGTAACTACCGTAACTACAGACGATTTGATAGAGTATCTACAAATAGGTTACTACACGGTAAGAAAAAAGTCCTCACGGTCAGCTCACTTTTACCTACTTTTGACTAGTTTGTCTCCTTTTCTCCTCACGGTAACCAGCGTTAACACATTAATGTGTAAAATTTCACACATTTAGTGAAAATAGGAGCCTACACGGTAAGAAAAAAGTACCCAAAATTAAGTTCTTTTCACTCATCTCAGCACTATAGTGCAGGAACCCAAAAGTAGGTAAAGCGGGCCAAAGTAGTTTTCATTTACTTGTGTGGAATTTTCCACTCGCTTTCTACCCAAAAGTAAGTTAGTTGTACCCAAAAGTAGGTAAACATGATTATACTCAACGTTGAGTTCCCACACTTTACTACCCCTGTTGGGTGGTTTTGCTCCTCCGTTTTTGACAACATTAGAAGGCGAAAAGAAGACAAACTAGTCAAAAGTAGGTAAAAGTGAACTGGCCGTTGGGTACTTTTTTCTTACCGTGTACTCATAAAATGTGAAAACTGCGTTTACACATTTATGTGTAAACCCAGCAAACGTCAATAGAAGTGTATTTTTTTTCATTCCGTATCGAGCGCTGAGTCAGTTAACACGGTCCCGGTCTCTCACACGACATTAAGGCCGTTCGCAATGCTGTTGTATTTTATAAGGCCGTTCGCAATGCTGTTGTATTTTATAAGGACTGTTTCAATTTGAAACTAGAACAGAAACGCACCTCCCCTAATAAAAATTGTATGGTTAATTTGCTTAACGACGTGTTCTGGGTATCATCCAAACCATTTGTGGAATAGTTCAATGATTTGGGTTGTCGTTCGTTTATGGTTATTTTTTATTAGGGTCTCGCAATGCTGAGTTGCAGTTTCATTATTCGAGCACTATTTTGCACCAGATTTGCAACTGCTCGACTATTCTGTTTTATTTCTGAGCGAGTTTGAAACACGAATGGAACTCTGTTTCAAATTTCTTTGGATGTGTTTAAGATGTTTCGAAGAGCTCCACAAATAAAAAACGGAGAACTTCATAGAGAACAGTAAGGCCGTTCGCAATGCTGAGTTTCAAAATTGTTTCAAACTACTCGTCAATTCTATAATTTGAAACTGTCAAAAATAAAACTGCAACACGATCAGCGCAACGCACAGTTCTAAAACATGTTTGTAATCATCAAGTTCCATAAACTTTACTGTTCTCTATGAAGTTCTTCGTTTTTTTTGTGGAGCTCTTCGAAACATCTTCAACACATCCAAAGAAATTTGAAACAGAGTTCCATTCGTGTTTCAAACTCGCTCAGAAATAAAACAGAATAGTCGAGCAGTTGCAAATCTGGTGCAAAATAGTGCTCGAATAATGAAACTGCAACTCAGCATTGCGAGAGGTGCGTTTCTGTTCTAGTTTCAAATTGAAACAGTCCTTATAAAATACAACAGCATTGCGAACGGCCTAAAGTTTATGGAACTTTATGATTACAAACATGTTTTAGAACTGTGCGTTGCGCTGATCGTGTTGCAGTTTTATTTTTGACAGTTTCAAATTATAGAATTGACGAGTAGTTTAAAACAATTTTGAAACTCAGCATTGCGAACGGCCTAAGGACTGTTTCAATTTGAAACTAGAACAGAAACGCACCTCTCGCAATGCTGAGTTGCAGTTTCATTATTCGAGCACTATTTTGCACCAGATTTGCAACTGCTCGACTATTCTGTTTTATTTCTGAGCGAGTTTGAAACACGAATGGAACTCTGTTTCAAATTTCTTTGGATGTGTTTAAGATGTTTCGAAGAGCTCCACAAATAAAAAACGGAGAACTTCATAGAGAACAGTAAAGTTTATGGAACTTTATGATTACAAACATGTTTTAGAACTGTGCGTTGCGCTGATCGTGTTGCAGTTTTATTTTTGACAGTTTCAAATTATAGAATTGACGAGTAGTTTAAAACAATTTTGAAACTCAGCATTGCGAACGGCCTAAGCATTACTTGTGATTTTGTTTCCACCCGCGTGGTTTTTTTCGCATCACAGTACAGTGTCCAGGTGATAAGCGCGCGTGTTTCGGAAGCACCGAAATTCGGCGAGCCCGTTTATTTCGAGTGTCCATCTCTACCCATCCCGGTGAAAGATCACCATCATCACGACGTATCCATTGTATCGCCGTTATCGACATCTCCATTGTATCGCCACCTGCAGCTGCAAGCAAGCAGTAGCAAACGGTATAAGTATTGTTCGCACCCCTCCGGTGCGAATGAAAAACGATTTTCAAAAGTAGGTCTTTTGACGGACAAACTCAACTAAAATATATTCAAAATTAACAACTATTTACATTAAACAAACTTACAATCGACAACTTACAATTTAGTTTTTCAACGCCTGCAACTCCTCAATGCCAATCTACGTTCGGCGGGCTTAGCGAGGTCCTATCAATTAATTAAATAAAAGACACTGAACAACATGTCACCTTTACATAATATTTAACTTACGGTAATTGAACAGTAATACACTAAATGAAAACATATCTGCTTCCCGCGGTACAACCATAGAGGTAACTCTAAGACCACTGGGTCCCGAAGAAAATCATTATTATTTTTGGCTCACTCAGTACCAGAACAACGATCCCAAGCAGTCCCAAGCTATTTCACTCACCCCTGCATGTTCTGCATGAATCCACACACCCCTGATGTTATCTGTCAAACTTTCATAGCGAATCAAAACAAACATAGTGTAGTAATAGAATTTCAACTAGAATAGGGTACGTTAATCGTTTGCTTGGGACCAATCGTCCCCCAAGGCTCTCATTTGGGACCTCTCCTTTTTATTCTATACGTAAACGACATATCTTACATTCTCAAAAAACTTAAATTGCTTATTTATGCCGACGACATGAAGCTCTTTTTGGAAATAAGAAATGAAGAAGACATCAATATATTCCGGAATGAAATACACATATTCTACATATGGTGCAAAAAAAGTCTACTAGAATTGAATGTAAAAAAATGTAACTTAATATCATTTAGTAGAAAAAGAACAACTTCAAATATTTCAATTGCATTAGGAAATCAAACTGTAGACAAATGTGAAAGAGTTAGGGATTTAGGAATTATCTTAGACTCTAAGCTAACTTTCATAGACCATTACAATACAATTATTCACAGGGCAAATAACATGCTAGGCTTTATCAAGCGCTTTTGCTATAACTTTCAGGACCCTTACACAATTAAAACACTATATATTGCCTATGTGAGGTCAATACTGGAATATTGCAGCATTGTATGGTCTCCATTTTCAATCACGCACGAAGAAAGATTAGAATCAGTACAAAAACAATTTCTATTATACGCTCTTCGTAAATTAGGTTGGACTTCATTTCCTCTTCCATCATATGAAGCACGCTGCATGCTTATAAACATACAAACATTAAAAGAGCGTCGTGAATATGCAATGGTTTCATTTGTAAATGATATCGTTTCGCAGCGAATTGACTCAACAGAACTTTTATCAAAATTAAATTTCCATGCACCCACTCGGCAACTCCGAAATCGAAATTTATTTGCCATAAAACATCATCGCACAAATTATGCAAAATATGGGCCATTAAACCGCATGATGGCCTCTTACAATAAACACTGCGAAACCATTGACTTTACAATGTCTCGGCATAAACTAAAGCAATATTTTTATTCCATAAGAAATAACAACTCATAAAAGAAAAGACAAGAAAGCTGACACTACTTTTTTATATAAATATATATTTAAGAAAACAAAACTGTATTAATTAATTGTACTAGTCTACGTTGGTTGACGAAATAAATAAATAAATAAAATAGGCTACTAAAGTGGTGAGCCAATTTAAAATCGTTAGTTTCGTATTGATTGTTGGTACAACAGTGGCGAACAATCTATGATTTCACAATATTTAAAAAGCTACAAATAAACTAATAAACTACAAGTTACACAACTTACTAGGTACAATAATCGGCACAAAACATAATTCGCAACAACAAAAACACATCTATCGCGATGGAGTCTATACTCTCCTCTTTCCAGGCCAGCTGCTGGGGTAAACAAACAAAGTAGTGCGAAAGCGATGGCCGTGTTCAGCTTATCCCACTCGCTATCGCACCTCTTTGTGAATACATTCATCTATGCGCCTCACTGCTACAGCGACGGCAAGAAACGTCAAAAACAGGCGCATCAAAGGGGCGCGTTCACGGTAGTTATGCTACCGCAACCCTTTCAGGCCTGACTGCAACGGCAACATTCCCCCGCCCGTAAACCCTGTGGCTGGTTCCATCAGGAACAGTACGGGGATTACTCCTTCGAAGTGACCTCCAGAACGGCTAGCTTCGCTACCGGTCTGACCTTCTCGCCTCTGCTTGTCTGAACGGACGCTGAACGGACTCTTCCGTCACTCCCAACGAACACCTTCTTCACCACGCCTCGCTCCCAGACGTTTCGCTTCTCTCCATCTGCCACGAACACCAAATCTCCAACCGCTACTTGTCGCTGATCCACGAACCACTTAGACCTCTTGTTTAACATCGGCAGGTATTCCCTCTGCCAACGATCCCAGAATCCATCCGCCAAGAACTGTGCGCGATGGTAGCTACTACGCAACGTGTTGGCCAGGTCAATGGGATTCCTCGACGGCAGACACTCGACCGATGAACGACCACGCAAAAAGTGGTTCGGCGTCAACGCTTCCTTGTCTTCCTTCACGTTGGTGGACACGTAGGTGAGTGGACGAGAGTTGATCAGGTTCTCCGCCTCGATCAGTGCCGTCTGCAGGATCTCGTCCGTCAGCTTCCGACCATCTGTGAACGTTTTTAGCGCCTCTTTCACCGAGCGCACCATTCTCTCCCACGCACCTCCCATGTGTGGGGCAGCCGGTGGGTTGAAAGTCCAACGAGTCCTCGCACCGGTAAAGGTATCCGCACATGCTAGATTTATTTCCTTCAGCAGATCTCGACTGGCACCGACAAAGTTCGTGCCGTTATCCGAAAGGATCTCGATCGGACTGCCACGCCGCTTTACGAACCTCCTGATCGCCATTTTGCACGACTCAGTCGTCAAGTTGTACGCCACCTCCAAATGTACCGCTCGCACAGTTAGGCACGTGAAAAGTGCCACCCATCGCTTTTCCTTCATTCGCCCAATAGACACTTCCAGTGGACCAAAATAGTCTATGCCGACGTACGAAAACGGATCGACCCTCGCCGCCAAACGCTGCCCTGGTAAGGGTGCCATTCTCGGAACAATTGGTTTCGCCTTTTGAATCTTGCACCACACACAGGCTCGCATCACTTGATCTACTAGCGCTCGGAGACACGGAATGTAGAATCGCTGCCGAACTTCGTTTACAACGGTTTCTCTGCTGCTGTGCCCATACTGCCGATGGTAGTGTTCTAATAACCTTCGAGTCACCACGTGGTCCTTCGGCAGAATGATCGGAAACCTCGCATCAAATGCCGCATATTTCGCCGCTTCTGTACGACCTTCCATCCGCACGACACCATCCTCATCCAGGAACGGCGCAAGACGATACAGCTTACTCGACCTCTCTAGTGACATTTCATGTACTGTCGAATCCTTGTTCTTCACCAGGGTCCTCACTTCGTCGGCAAACTCGTCTGCCTGAATCACCTTCCACAAAACTGTTTCTGCAGCCTGGTACTCCTCCTGTCGCAACGGCACATCCACGGCGGGGAACGTTGATCCTTGCAGTCGCCGGCAGTTGGACGCGAATCGGAACACTGTTGCTAGGGTCCGCACCATTACTGTCCAACGCGAAATATGCTGCAACCTCTCCGTAAACCCCTCGGGTAACACGATGTGATGCAGCAGCACTCTCGCCCGGAGCTCTTCGGCACCTTTGGACGCTTTTGCTTCGGCCATTCTTCCACTCCGTGATACAGAAAATCCGGTCCATGGAACCATCGGCTTCCCGACTTGATCTCCGTTCCTTTGCCCCACTTCGTCAAATCGTCCGCTGGATTGTCCTTCGTTCCTACCCAACGCCAATCTTCTGGATTCGTGATGCTGAGGATCTCGCCAATACGATAGGCAACGAACGGCTTATACCTTCGTTGGTCCGATTTCACCCATGATACTACCGTATCCGAGTCACACCACAGGAAGTGCTTCGCAACCGGAACGGAATTGGCATCGCAGATCGACTTTGTCAATCGCGCACCGAGAACAGCCGCTTCTAGCTCCAACCGTGGTGTAGACAGGTACTGTAATGGCGCCACCTTCGCTTTGGCCTCAATGAATGTGCAGTGAACGACTTCGCCGTCCTCGAACCTGAAGTAGGCCACGCATCCATATGCCGCATCTCCAGCGTCAGTGAAAACGTGTAACTGCACCGTTTCATAGACCTTCGAGTCCAATCCGCCGAGGTAACACCGTGGAACACGAATCTCATCGATTAGATGGAATAGCTGTGTCCACTGCACCCACCGCTTGTAGTGAGCTTCCGTGAGCTTCTCGTGCCAACCTATGCCGCTACGCCATAAATCCTGCAAAATGATCCGTCCGTGTATCAACAGCGGAGCCAGGAACTGTTTCGGATCGAACATGCTGGCAATGCACCGCAACACAATCCTCTTTGTTGGCCAAGCACCTTCCCGAATGTAGGGCTGAAGGTCTTGGCGAATCTCCGTTGAGAAAACGAAGTGATCACCTTCCGGGTCCCACAGCACTCCCAGGACTCTCTCCGTAGTGCAATGCTTGTCTACTTCTAGTGGTTTCACCACAGACTTCTCCTCTCCGAGCTGACGTAACACTTCCTGTGAGTTGGAAACCCAGTTCCGAATCTCGAACCCACCGTTGGCGTGTACACGTCGCACATCCATCGCTAGTCTCACCGCTTCCTCTACTGTATCGGCACTGTCGAAATAGTCGTCGACATAGTGCTTTCGGACGATAGCATCGGCAGCCTCCGGATACTGCTCGGCATGTTCCCGCGCGTTCAAGTTTTTCACGTACTGTGCGGAGCAAGGCGAACAGGTCGAGCCAAAGATAACCACATCCATCACGTACGTTTCCACCGGACCCACGAATAGGAACCGTTGTGCCTGACGGTCTTCTGCACGAACCCATGCTTGATGAAACATTTCCCTAATGTCACCTCCAAACGCCACGTTTCTCTCGCGGAATCCACTTATAACAGCTGGTAGCAACGTTATCATGTCTGGACCCTTCAACAGCTTATCGTTAAGCGAGACTCCATGAGCCCTCGCTGCCGCATCCCAGACCAACCACACCTTGCCAGGTTTCTTCGGATGTACCACGTAGTTAAGCGGTAGGTACCAAACTTTACTCTTCGGCGTCTCCTTTAACTCCTGCTCGGTGATACGATGCGCGTAGCCCTTGGCAAGATATTCTTCCAACTGCTTTTGCAAACATTCCTGCACTCCAGGATTCCGGTTCATCCGAGCTTCCAAACATCGCAACCGCTTCATGGCCATGTCTAAACTCTCCGGAAATCGAACATCATCTTCTTTCCAGAGTAATCCTGTCTCGAACCTGCTACCCACTCTTCGAGTGGTCTTCTCCAAAATCTCGCGTGCTCTACGATCTTCCTTCGATTCTAAACGAATAGGTGACACTCCGACGTCTTCAAGTTGATAATGTTTCTTCATCGCCTCGTCCAGATCCTTATCCGCTTTACTGCACTCCTCACACGAGCACCGATGGTGTCCCAGAAAATGCACCTTTCCTACGACGTTTGGTTGTGGGCCATAAGCCGTCCAGCCGAGCTTGCACAAAATGGCAACTGGTTTATCAGATTCTCCGATTCGTGAGTCAAGCGGGGCGATCAAGTGAAGATTATCGATCCCCAGCAGCACCTTCGGTGTAGTTCTCTCGTAACTGGGAATGTCGATGTCTTCAAGGTGCTTAAACTCCTTGACCAACTTCGCTGAATCCAGCTTCTGTGCAGGGAGGTTTAACCTGTGCACCGTATGAGCTTCCAGCAGATCGTATCTACTCGACGAGTCTCTGGCAGATATCTCAAGCACCACTTTCTTCGACTGATACTCCGTGCGCTGTACGCCGTTTGTCCAAGTCATCTGCAGTGGTTCCACTGCTCCATCGGCACCCAACGTTCTCACCAATTCACTGTCCACCATGGTAACCGAAGATCCTTCATCGATGAGTGCTAGAGTATCTACTCTTTTCTTGCCGTTGTACAGCGTCACTGGAACCATCCTAAACAGAACTGCACATTTCGACTGACGATGACTATTACACTGCACCTGAGTTCGCGAGTATCCGGCTGGTCCACCATGAAGAAGGGCATTGTGGTTTTCCGGACAGCCATCTACCTTGCAACGAACTCTTATACGACATGATCGTTGTCCATGGTCGTAAAGCCAGAGTGGACAGAGGTTCAACCGAGTCACCGTTTTCCACCGCTCTGCAACACTCTGTTTGAGCAATTCCTGGCAGTTCCTTCCGTAATGCCCAGACTTTTGGCACACGGAACACTTCAACTCTCGGCGCTGGGGTTGGGGTGACGAATTCTTCCCAGCTGACATCACACTCCCAGACCGGCCGCTATCTCCATCCGTGACGTGAACGAAAGCCTTCGTTTGTGGTCTATTTCGCATCTTACCCTTCTCCTTTGCATCTGCCTTCTCGAAGGTTGCTTCCAACGCCTTCTCTACGAGACCTTCCATGAATGCACCGAATGTTTCCAAGTCGACTGACTGTGCGCGTCGCTTGTAGTCCACCCACTCCATGGCATAGTACGACGGCAGCTTCTGAACTAGACTCTGCATCAAAATTGGGTTCTTCCAGTGGTCCATCAGCCCGGCCGCTTTGAGATGCTGAGTAAACTCTTCGACGGCACTTCCGAACTCGATCACCGACTCCAAACTCTCCGAGCTTGGTCCCTCTAGCTGCTGGATCTTTGTCGCCAATCTGGTTGACAGGATCTCCGGATTCCCGAATCTCTTCCTCAGCTTCTCGATGATCAACGGCACGTTCTCCGGCAAAAGCAGACGATTTCGAACCGTATCCAATGCTTTCCCCTTCAGAGCATCCTGTAGACGGACCAAATTCTCTGCGTTGGTGAATCCACAGGACTGGTTTGCCTGCTCGTAGGCGCTGATAAAGATCGGCCACTCTTCTGCTGCTCCATAAAACTTCGGCAGGCTCCTCGGAAATACCTGTCGAGACGCTATCTGGAGCCGTGTCGGTCCATCCGCAACTACTTTATCGCCTTTGTAGTCCCCACCGTCGAGGATTGACTCTAGTGCTTCATCATCTTTCTTGAAAGACGGACGAGGCAGTCTCGGATTTGCAGAAAGCAATGATCTCGTTCTTGTGGACTTTCCTGGTACTGGCTTCTGGGGTTTACTTCCATTTCGATCTTCCAGAAGTTCCTTGAAACGATCGAACAGGTCCTGTATATCATTTTCGGCGGACCTTTTCTTTGGATCTTTGCGAACCGCACCTAGACTCTTCGGGAGCTGCTTCTCCGGCTGCGGTTTCCCGCTTTTGTCCATCGATTCAACTTCGGCCCCTGAATCTGATTCGCCATCAGAACCGTTGATAATCTGTGTCAGCTCCATCCGTCGCTCGAGCGCCTTCTTCCGTCTAGCAATCCGCTTCCGTTGAAGTTCGAGGATTTTTTGCTGATTTTCCTCCTCAAGTTCGTCCAAACGGTTTCTTTCTTCCAAGTCTCGAAGTTCTCTCAACGCACGAACTCGTGTTGACTCCGCCGACGGTACACTGGCACTTTTCCGGAGCACACTTTTCCCAATTCGGCTACTCTTCGGTACTGAATCGGTGGGATTAACGCGCGCGGGTAGACTTGAATGACGATTTAACGATTTTAAAAGATCGTTTAAGAATCTAGTGTGGTTTTCTGACTTTTCTGTTTGCACATCTAGTTCTTCATCGTCTGAACTTTCCTGCTCCTGTTCTGATGTTTTATTTGTGTTGCCATCATCTTCATCCTGCGCTACTGCCCTACTAATGCGACCTTTAGTCAAAGATATGTTCTTACTCGCTACCTTATCGACCTTTTTCCCGCTACTTTCCGTCTGACTTCCTGGATGATTGATCACCATCGGATGAATCCGAGTTTGACCTGGTACACCCAACGACTGTCTGATCGATCTATCCTCACCGACACAAGTCGAGCAGAACCAGACCACCTCCGCAACAGATTCGTCGACACCAACGCACTCGAAGTGGTACCATTCTTGGCACTTTTCGCACTGTACGCTAGCATCGTAGTCCTCATCGCAGTCACAGCACGGGTATCTGTAGGTCTCCATTGATAAATTTTGAGGATGCTCGCACCCCTCCGGTGCGAATGAAAAACGATTTTCAAAAGTAGGTCTTTTGACGGACAAACTCAACTAAAATATATTCAAAATTAACAACTATTTACATTAAACAAACTTACAATCGACAACTTACAATTTAGTTTTTCAACGCCTGCAACTCCTCAATGCCAATCTACGTTCGGCGGGCTTAGCGAGGTCCTATCAATTAATTAAATAAAAGACACTGAACAACATGTCACCTTTACATAATATTTAACTTACGGTAATTGAACAGTAATACACTAAATGAAAACATATCTGCTTCCCGCGGTACAACAGTGGCGAACAATCTATGATTTCACAATATTTAAAAAGCTACAAATAAACTAATAAACTACAAATTACACAACTTACTAGGTACAATAATCGGCACAAAACATAATTCGCAACAACAAAAACACATCTATCGCGATGGAGTCTATACTCTCCTCTTTCCAGGCCAGCTGCTGGGGTAAACAAACAAAGTAGTGCGAAAGCGATGGCCGTGTTCAGCTTATCCCACTCACTATCGCACCTCTTTGTGAATACATTCATCTATGCGCCTCACTGCTACAGCGACGGCAAGAAACGTCAAAAACGGGCGCATCAAAGGGGCGCGTTCACGGTAGTTATGCTACCGCAACCCTTTCAGGCCTGACTGCAACGGCAACAAGTATAATAGATAGTTTTTTTCGATTGCCTTGCTATTGTATAGCAAAGTTGCCTTGTGGCAGTGTGCTCTCCCTAATAGGGTGGGGCATTTTTGTAACTAGTAAAAAGTTAATTTTTTTTATATCATTTTTTTTGTATGGTTGCTTGCACACCGGGCAACAAAACATTAACAACTAGAAGCTAAGTAAATTAATTGGTGAAGGTTATTTTTAAGTTTTTTTTTTCATTTTTAAGCTGTTGTGCACCGCTTTTGCACATCACTTATGGCGTCTTCGGATGCCTACGTTGCGCGAACCAGATACTACCAACCCCAACCGTCTTCGAAAGGACCATGGGTTGTCTTTTTCCGGCCCAAAAATAAACCTTTGAAAACTCTCGACATTACGAGAGATTTGCTGCGAAAGTATCCGGGAATCTTGGTACACAAGGAAAGATTCAACAAACTGCGGGTAGAAGCACCGACTTATGATGTGGCAAATAAAATTGCTGAACACGAGCTTTTTAGTGTTGAGTATAACATCTACATCCCTTCTCGAGATGTGGAGATAGAAGGCGTGGTCTCCGACGCGAGTCTGACTGTCGAGGACTTGAAACGTGCCTCGGGAAGTTTTAAAAACTCCACATTTGCTACCGCGCTAGTGAAGATACTGGATGTAAGGCAATTGCATTCAGTATCTTTGCTAGACGGTAAAAAAGTTTATCGACATTCAGACTCGTTTCGGGTGACTTTCGCAAGTTCAGTGCTCCCAAACTATGTTAAAATTGATGGTGCTTTTTTCCGGTGCGGCTGTTTGTACAGAGGGTATACAATTGTACCAACTGCAAAAGGCTGGGACACTCGGCCAGCCATTGCGGCAACAAAACTCGTTGTGGCAAATGTGGTGAAAACCACAAAGAGGATTCTTGCCACAAAGAATCAGTAAAATGCGCTTATTGTGGCGAGAATCCTCACCCCTTGCAGGAGTGCCCGATGTACAAGCAGCACTCCGATAAAGTGCAGCGTTCAATCTCTGGACGCTCCAAGCAGACATGCTCAAATGGTGAAGGCTACATCAGCCGTCCAAGATGCAAACCAATTTTCGATTTTGTCAGCTGAAGAATCGGACTCTGACTCATCCGATGAAGGTGATTCTACGGTGGTACACGCACCTTCAAAAATGGACGGATCCTCAAAAAGAAAATGCCCCTCCCCGAAAGTGCGCCGTAAGAAAACTAAAGTCTCCTCCAGAAGATTGGAAAATTCCCAGGGTAATGGGGATGAAAAAACGAAACCGAAGGCTCCTGCTGAACCAATCCCTGGATGCAGCAGAAATTTTCCACCATTGCCCAAAAAAGATAAGAAAAATAATAAAGCTGCTCCTCAAACTTCTCAAAAGAAATCCAAGTCTGAACGAGGTTTGCTAGCTTTTTCGGACATTGTGAAATTCATATTAAACATGTTCAACATACAAGACCCTCTAAAAAGCTTAGTTTCTACCTTGCGTCCAACGTTAGAATCATATCTTAAGCAATTAACTGTTTCATGGCCCCTCCTTGCATCAATCATATCTTTCGATGGATAATTCGTCGAACGAGGTTGAAGATATGATCACTGTGCTACAGTGGAACCAACAATCAATACGAAACTAACGATTTTAAATTGGCTCACTACTTGACTAGCCTATTGGTCCCAAGCAAACGATTAACGTACCCTATTCTAGTCTAAATTCTAGTACTACACAATGTTGGTTTTGATTCGCTATGAAAGTTTGACAGATAAAATGAGGTGTTAGTGGATTTTCCTATGTTTCGAGGGGTGAATCGATTAGCTTGGGATCGAAGAGAGTACCAGAGCTGAACCAAAAAGTTGAGCACCTTTCTTCAGGACCTTCTGGTCTTAGAGATACCTCTATGGTGGAACTGCCGTAGTCTAGTGCCTAAACTGGACTCGTTCAAATTTTTACTTCACAATTCTGATAGTGATATATTTGCTCTCTGTGAAACATGGCTTTCTTCCGATAAAGAACTCAACTTCCTCGATTTTAACATTATACGTCTGCATAGAGACGATTCTTATGGAGGAGTACTTTTAGGGATCAAAAAGTGCTACCCTTTCTACAAAATTTCCCTTCCTGCTCTATCAGGCGTCGAAATCGTCGCTTGCCAAATAAATGTGAAGAACAAAGATCTTTGCATAGCTTCAGTTTATGTTCCACCAAGAACCTCCATTAGCCGTAGTCAACTCTGGAATCTAGTTTCGGTTCTTCCATCCCCAGTATTAATTCTGGATGATATGAACTCCCATGGTACTGGGTGGGGCGATCTAACGATGACAATAGAGCGGCTATTTTTTACGATTTATGCGACGGTTTCAACTTGACTATTTTGAACACTGGTGAAGCGACACGTATAACAAAACCTCCGGCTCGAGAAAGCCGACTCGACCTATCTTTGTGTTCAAGAGCGCTATCATTGGATTGTCTGTGGAAGGTTATCAATGATCCCCATGGTAGCGATCGTTTGCCAATCATCATTTCAATTAAGTGTGCCCCTCACTCTGCAGAACCATCTCGAGTTCCATTTGATCTTACAAGGAACATAGATTGGCATAAATATGCAACGGCGGTGACAATCGGTGCCGAATCAATAGATACGCTTGCACCATTGGAAGAATATCGATTCCTCGCCGATTTGATTTACAAAAGTTCACTGGAAGCACAAAAAAAAAGTGCCAAGTGCGCCCTTCAAAAGGAGACCAGCCACACCTGGATGGGATGAAGAATGCACAAAATTGTATGTACAAAAATCTGATGCTTTCAAAGCTTTTCATAGACACAAAACCTCCACATACTTCGAGGAATATTCAAAGCTTGAGACAAAGCTGAAACAATTAATAAAAGCAAAAAACGCGGTTATTGGCGCAATTTCGTGAGGGACTCTCACAAGAAACCTCAATGAACACCTTGTGGAGGGTGGCTCGGAACATGCGTAACCGCTCATCTTCTAATGAGAATGAAGAATACTCCAACCGATGGATATTCGATTTCGCTAAAACACACAACATCCGTTCAATTTGCCGCACATGGTGGGGTGCTCATCCGGGAGACCTCATAACGCTTTATAAAACAACTATTCTCTCTGTTCTAGAGTACGGCTCTTTCTGCTTTCTCTCGGCAAGAAAATGTCACCTAATAAAATTGGAACGAATTCAATATCGTTGTCTGCGTATTGCTCTTGGCTGTATGCACTCAACGCATAACATGAGTCTCGAGGTTCTGACAGAAGTAACACCCCTCCAGAACCGCTTCTGGGAGCTCTCTCTCAGAATACTTATCAAATGCGGAGTGACGAACACACTTATAATTGAAAATTTTGAAGAAATTCTTGGGCTGAACACACAATCTCGATTTATGAGAATCTACCATCACTACATATCGTCAGATATGTGTCTTCCTTGTTACATTCCAGACAGTCCTCACTTCACCAATCGCAGTTCCTCAATTGAATATGATCTGACCATGAAACAAGCAACTCATGTGATTCCCGATCCCGCGTATTTTTACTGAAAAGTACCAACACGTCAATTGCGTGAACAGATATTTTACAGACGGGTCACGTCTCAATGGATCCACTGGCTTCGGTGTCTTCAATGAAAACTCTAGCGCCTTTCGCAAACTCCAGGAACCTTGTTCCGTTTTTGTTGCTGAGCTGGCAGCAATCAACTTCGCATTGGGGATGATTTCCAACATGCCCGCAGACCATTACTTCATCTTCTCGGATAGTTTCAGTTCGATTGAGGCTATTCGGTCGATGAAACAAGGTAGGCACTCATCTTATTTCCTTTCAAAGGTAAGGGAGCAGATGAGTGTGCTTGTCGAAAGATGATTACCTTTGTATGGGTCCCCTCACATTGCTCAATCCCACGCAATGAGAAGGCGGACTCTTTCGCAAAGGTGAGTGCGCAGGAAGGCGAATTTTATGACAGGCAAATTTCACACGATGAATTTTACCATTTAGTGCATCAGAGTACCCTTTCGAGTTGGCAAACCGATTGGGACAATGGAAATCTTGGACGGTGGTTACATTCAATTATTCCTAATGTTTCTTCGAGAGCGTGGTTTAAAGGCTTGGACTTAAGTCGTGACTTCATTCGCGTGATGAGTAGACTTATGTCCAACCACTACTCGCTAGATGCTCATCTCAATAGAATAAACCTCGTGGACAGCAACATCTGTCGGTGTGGAAACGGTTACGATGACATCGATCACGCAGTTTGGCAATGTGCGATATCTGCTATATGCAGTCGGTTTATGTGTTTCTTTAAATGTCTAGTATAAGAATTTAATTCCTTTGTCTTTTGTCTCTCTTTATTAGTTTTTGTTTGTCTTGTCGGGGGGACAAGACAAACAAAAACTAATAAAGAGAGACAAAAGACAAAGGAATTAAATTCTTATACTAGACATTTAAAGAAACACATAAACCGACTGCATATAGCAGAAATCGCGAGTTCCCAACACGTCTCTGATAGGAACATAGGGTTGTCTTCCTTGGGCCTCAAGGGTATTCAAAAGTCGCTCTCTGGCGGCGTAATTATCCGTACATTGCCAAACTTCGTGATCGATGTCATCGTAACCGTAACCGACGGGGGGTCTCAATGAGTCTCATCGTCGCCCACTGGACACCATAGCCGGTCAAACTCCAGACGAAACGAGAACCGCACTACCGTTCATACTGGCGACAACGCTCTGATGAGACAACGAAACCTTGCCCCCAAGTTCCTCCTCTGATCCTATCCTTCGACAATGTACCTCTCTAACCTCGAGTAAGCCGCGAGTATTCGGCGCAACTCCTACTAGACATAGAATTAAGTGAATTTTGTTACAAACAAAGAACAATGAACTATCGGCTCCGTAAAGCTAACGCGATTGAGCCTACCAAATAAACCAACTAGTTAAAAAAAAGAAGTGTATTTTTTACACCTTTTTCAAGAACGGTTTTTACAGCAAAATGTGTAAAAAGTAATCATTTCTAGAACTTAAATATAAAGGGGTGCGCATGGTTTTTTGTTAACCTCGGAATTTTCTTATTTGTGTCAATGATAAAATAAAGATTGCTCGATTACAATAATTAGTTAAAGCTAAGTTGTAGTTATGTTCATGTTACATCCGGAAAACTTCAGTTCTTGGATGTTTTTGTAACTTCTTGGAAGTTCTAGTTAAGGTAAAATTAAGTCAAAGTTAAATCAAAATTGAGAATTAAAAATTTGATTAGTTCAAGTTAAGTAATAGTTGAAAATAAGTTAAGTTAATTAGTAACATTTTAGTAACACATAAGTTTATGTTTTATTAGAGATAAAATCGAGTTCAGTTAAGCTAAAATTTAGTGAAGGTTAGTTAAGGTTAAGTTGAAGTTTAGTTAAAGTGAATGATATGTTAAATTCAAGTTAAAGTTATGATAAAATTAAGCTAAATTATGTTAAATTTCAGTAAAAAATAAGTGGAAGTTAATTTAAACTTAAAATTATGTTAATTTAATAAAATAACGTTTTAAAGTAAGGTTAAAGTGTAGTAAAAGTTTAGTTGAAGTTTTTTTTCAAGAGAGCTTCTGTTCAAGTTATGTTAACGTTAATTATAATTTAAGTTAAGATAAATTTATGTAAAACTATTAAGTTTAGCTTAAGTCATGGAAAAGTTATTTCCAGGGAATTTCAGGGAAATTTCCAGAGAACTTCAATGAAACTCCAGTTATTGAAACTTCTTGAAAGATGTTGGAAGCTTTTGAAATTTTTTGAATGCTCTTCGAATTTTTGAAAGTTCTTGGAAGTTTTGAAACTTCTAGAAATTTCTTGAGAACTTCCATGTGACGTTTCTTACTACGTTAAAATTAAGTCAAAGTTAAAGTTAAGTAAATGTTTAGTCTAAGTTAAGTGAATGTTTAGTTAAAGTTAAGTGAATGTTTAGTTGAAGTTAAAGTAAAGTTGAGGTTATAAGTTAAACTTTAGTTAATGTTAAGTTGAAGTCTGGCTAAAGATAAAATCAAGTTGTGTTCAAATTAACTATAAGTAATGAAATTTAAAATAAACTTAAGATAAAGTTTAGATAAACTTTTGTATTAAAATTGAGCCAAATTTTTACAAAATTTTAAAGTTATGTAAGTTATGTTAAGGAACTTCATGGAATGAGTTTCCATAAAGTTCACATGAATGTTTAGTAAAAGCTATGTTGTAGTTAAAGTGGTTAAAGTAAAGTGAAGCTAATTAAAGTTTGGTTTTATAAAATAAAGTTAAGTTATAATTAAGTTAAAATTTAGTGAACGTTACGATAAAACTTATTTAAAGTTTAGTTAAAGTGAAGTGTAAGGTTTTATCATAGTAATGTTAATTTCGACAGTGAGCATGCATAAGGGCCTATACGCGAACTAGCGTGCACAGGAATCTGGTTAAGGAGGGGCAATTTTTTTTATGGTGCATTTAATCTGGGGATAAGGAGTACTCCAAAGTGCGTGGTGGATAGTGCTATCCACCCACGACTGTTTACCTACTGTTCAATTTAGTTAATTTCTTTTTTTTTGCTCCGGTGATGGTTCATCTCCTTCAATGAAAACTGCTTTCAGACAGCCAATGGAAATTGGCAATTTAATCCCATCGACGATGTCGATGATGATCGTTTCGTCATATGGTTGCGATAGGAGGGGTTTAAGGTGATACTCTAAGGAAGCCTTAGCGTGAAACTTTGAAGGCACAAATGTCAGTTTCCACAAAACATACAAATTTGAAATTGCTACTCCTTGTTTGCTGTGCTACTACAAACAGAGAGTAGCAATTTCAAATTTGTATGTTTTGTGGAAGCTGACATTTGTGCCTTTGAAGTTTCACGCTAAGGCTTCCTTAAAGTATCACCTTAACCGAAATGATACATTTGCTGGAATGTTGTTACATTGGTGGTTGAATTCAGCTGAAGTCACGTCAGATGGTGGTGATAGTACGATTGTGTGGCGATCTAAATGACTGGTTCTTTGTTGTGTTGTTTAATTAAATGGTAAACAAGTATTAATGTTAGCAGATCAGATATTCTATTGATTTGAGAGGCCGGTAATACTTAATAGTCAATAATTATTTTTTTCTTATTGAAATGCAACACGGTTTCTTCAATAAAGTTATACAGCAACTTTTGATTAATATAAATGGTGGACCTGCTCCTCTACGAACACGTGTTTATAGAAACCTACCATTTGGTAATAAATTTGTCACGATAGATAATTACAAAACTTACCATTATGAGCTGAAAAGTTTTACAGAATACAGAATTCATACTAATGCCTCCTACAGAAAAAATATTGTATATGTGATATCTCTTACGAAAAATGAAAGCGAGCATCGATCTGTTGAGTGGAACCGGCGGAGCTTTCGGGAAATGAAAATTTCTGAAATAATCGGGAACAAAAATGAACAATAAGAAATCCTTCGGAAGCAAAATAAGAAAAACTAATGTCTTACCAGTCAAGACATTCCTTTGACATTCCACGACGGTTGCATGGCAGCCGCATGCGAGCATCGATCTGTTTGACGGATTCGTTGGATCGTGGCTGGGAACGCTTGGGTTGAGCTGATTCGTTGTCGATGGCACCATGCGCACCACCACGGGTGTATGGCAGCCGCATGCGAGAATCGATCTGTTCAACGGATTCGTTGGATCGTAGCTTGGAACGGGTTGAGCGGCTTTTTGGAATGTGGATGAAGGTATCGATGTCACCATGCACACCATCATGACAGCTGCATGTGAGCATCGATCTGTGACGGATTCGTTGGATCGAAGCTGAGAACGGGTTAAGCGGGAAGTGGGCACAAGCACCGATCTGCCCGATGGATTTGAAGTAAAGTAACCTAGTTCGAGCTGTGTTCGCAGTGTATTGATGCGCACCACCACGAGTGTATGGAAACTGCATGTGAGCATCGATGTGTTTCACGGATCCGTTGGATCTTAGCTGGGAACGGGTTGAGCGGGATGGGGGTACAAGCATCAATCTGCCCGGCTGATTTGGATAATGGATGGATCGATGTCGCCATGCGCACCACCACGGGTGAATGGCAGCTGCATGCGAGCAACAATCTGTTTGACGGATTCGTTAGATCGTGGCTGGGAACGGGTTGAGCGGAATGTGAGTCGAGCTATGTTCGCTGTGTATCGATGTCGCCATGCGCACCACCACGGGTGCATGGCAGCCACATGCGAGCATTGATCTGTTCGACGGATTCGTTGGATTGTAGCTGGGAACGGTTGGGTTGAGCGGATTTGTTGTCGATGGCACCATGCGCACCACCACGGGTGCATGGTAGCCGCATGCGAGCATCGATCTGTTCGACGGATTAATTGCATTGTAGGCGGGAACGGGTTGAGCGGATTCGTTGCTTGTAGCTGTTCGACGGATTCAGTGGATCGTAGCAGGGAACGGATTGAGTGGATTCGTTGGATTGTTGATGGAGATATCGATGTTGCCATGCACACCACCACGGGAGCATGGCAGCTGCATGCAAGCATCGATCTGTTCAACGGATTCGTTGCATCTTGGCTGGGAACGGATGGAGCGGAATGTGGGTCGAGCTGTGTTCGCTGTGTATCGATGTCGCCATGCGCACCACCACGGATGCATGGCAGCCGCATGTGAGTATCGATATGTGTGACGGATTCATGGATCTTGGCTGGGCACGAATGGAGCGGAATGTGGGTCGAGCTATGTTCGCTGTGTATCGATGTCGCCGAAAGTCGTTGAAGGGTATTATGGTAGCCGGGGTTGGCATGGACCCTTGTCCACCATAATTTTGAACTCGTACCGGTCTGTAGAAATCGGACAACTTGGATCGTCCGAAAAGACCGGCAGCAAAATGATTGATTGTGTAGAATCGGCAAGTATTTGCAAGCCCTTAGATGCTGTTGTAATTACATTTTACTATTACCGTTACGAGTACGTTGAACTTGGTCATTTCCAGCGAAAATTGAAGTTATAATTTTTCAAATTTTGGCCCAAATGCCAAGGCTAATAGGATCGTTAAAAAGGTTTAAAAAATATGTAACGATTGGTACAATAGCGCACAAAACTATTTTAACAAGGAAGTGCGAAGGATTGAGCATGTCTACCACGTCCCAAAGTACCGCTTGTCGGGGTGACAGAAAATGATGCCGAAACATGTTTTATTTATTGTAACGCACATAAACAGCTGTAACTTTTTAACCACGGTACCAAATGACTAGACATTTTCAGAGAAGATTATTAGACAAATTCTTAGTATGACAACAATAGACCAAGGTTTGACGGAGAACTAATACCCACTTTTCAATTAGGGAATCCAAAAGCTGTCTTCAAACTTTGTATAGTTGCGAAAAAGTCCATCCTCAGAATTCAATATCCTTGAGATTCTTTTCGAAATTTTTTAGAACTCAATGAGCTCTTTTGAAATTCTTCTCAGAAGTCCTCTGGAATTATTTTTAGAACTCTTCATAACTTTTTCTCAGAACACCTTGCAACTGAAATTTCCTTAGAGTTTCAAAATAATTTATTCAGTATTATCCAGACATTCTTCCCGAAATGAGCTACACAGCAAAAATTAAATTTTAATATCACATCAAAGTGGATGCACTTCAATCATGTCAAGAATATGGTATAATATAACTTGCTAAAACTGAACAAAATTATCATTAATACAGTGCATGAACTGACATTACGGTGCTTTTACTGCATTTGTCTATTTTTGTGGCCATAAAAATTGCATAAAATTTTCGACATGGTTGAAGTGCATCCGCTTGGATGTAATATTAAAATTTATTTTTTGCTATGTAGAAATTATCGGTACTCAATTGAAATTTTCCTCAGAATCCCTTTGGAATTTCACTCATAATTTACTTTTCTCGGTATTCCATTCGGAATTGTCTTGGAACTATCTGCATGATTCACTAGAAATTATTCGCAGAATTTTCTTGGAATACTCCCTAGAAATCCTTCAGAACTGTCCTCAGAATCCAAGAGCTCTTTTGAAATTTTTCTTAGAAGTCAACTGGAATTATTAAACCCTTCGTGATTTTTTCTCAAAACACCTTGGAACTGAAATTCCCTTTTCAGAGTTTCAGAAATTTTTTCCGGAATGAGCTAGAAATCATCATCGGAATTCTCTTGAAATTTTGCTTATAATCCCTTTGGATTTTCACTCCAAATTTTATTTTCTCGGTATTCTTTTCAAAATTATCTTGCAATTAACTAGTTAAAAAATAATAATCTTGGAATTAACTGCAGGATTCACTAGAAGTTATCCACAGAATTTTCTTTGAATTCTCCCAAGAAATCTTTTGGAACTGTTCTCAGAATTCAATATCCTTGAGGTTCTTCTCTGAATTTTTTAGAACTTTTTTTCTCAGAACACCTTGGAGCTGAAATTCCCCTAGAGTTTCAGAAGAATTTCCTCTGTATTCTCCAGAATTCTTCCCAGAATGAGCATGAAACTATCCTCGAAATTCCCTTCGAAATTTTCCTCAACATCCCTTTACAGTTTCAATCAGATTCACTAGAAATTATTCTCAGAATTTTCATGGAATTCTCGCAAGAAATCTTTTGGAACTGTCCTCAGAATTCACTTTCTTGAGATTCTTCTCGGATTTCTTAGAATTCTCCTAAGAGTTCTTTAAAATTCTTCTTAGAACTCCTTTGGAATTATTTTTAGAACTCTTCACGATTTTTTCTCAGACCACCTTGGAACTGTAATTTCCTTAGAGTTTCAGAAGAATTTTCTCAGTATTCTCCAGAAATTTTTCCGGAACTGAACTTGAAATTTTCCTTGGAATTCCCTTGAATTTTTATTTAAAATGTAGCTATCTGCAAGAATCACCAAAAATTATCCTCAGAATTTTCATGAAATTCTCCCCAGAAATCTTTTGGAACTGTCCTCAGAATACACTATCCCTGAGGTTATTCTCGGAAATGTTTAGAACTCTCCTAAGAGCTCTTTTGAAATTATTCTCAGAACTCCTTTGGAATTATTTTTAAAATTATTCACGATTTCACAGTTCCTGATGAATTTCCTCAATTTTCTCCAGAAATTTTTCCCAGAATGAGCTAGATATTATCCTCGGAATTACCTTAAAATTTTCCTCATTTTTGGAATTTCACCCGACATTTTATTTTTTCGGTACTCTTTTTGAAATTAAATTCTGTTCCATTTAGAATTTGGCCGCACAAAATAGGTTATTTCTCCAAGGGGAAATAAAGTACAAAAAGGCTTAAGGTATCATTTTGTTGGATTTTTATTTAACTTTAAGGGAAAAATAAAACAAAAATTATTCATCTGTAGTACTGTCAACCTCATCTACCATCCTTTTCCTCCACTTCTCCAAATCAGATGGTGTTTTGATTGTTTTGCCACATTTCTTCAATTTGCGCTTGATAATTGCCCAAAATTTTTCAATGGGATGATACTTTTCTCAATAAAATCGACATTATTCTGCTTATACCATTCTATGACATCGCGGCTGTAATGGCAGCTGGCTAAGTCAGGCCAGAACTTTATAGGACCTTCGTGTGATAGAATGAACGGCAAAATTATGTTCTGGAGACACTCCTCCTTGTAAAGTTGTCCATTCATAGTAGCTCCTGTGATGAAAACCTTTGTTTTCTTTCCGCAATTGCAGATGCCTTGCCAAATCATCAACTTGCGAGCGAATTTATCTGCAAAGACAAATTTGAATTTATCCGTTATCCCCCTTACGTTTAGCAAAGTAAAAATTTTAGCCCGGGATTTATCCAAAGTCCATTTTTACGTAAGTTTCATCGTCCATCAAAATACATCCGTTATACTTGGTCAGAACTTGCTCGTACAGCTTCCTTGCAGGGTTTTTTGCAACCAGGTTTTGTTTCAGCGTCCTTTTGGGATGTTTGCTGGCATGGTACGACCGGAAACCTTCTCGAATACAGATTCGCCAAACTGCCGCACTGAACCTTTTTGCCAAATCACGGCCGGAGATCCCAGGATTCTTTTGGAGTGCTCTTATAACCTTTGATCGTAGTTTTCGTTCATATGTTCCACTTCAACATTTGTTTTGTTTTGCACGATCCAACTTTAGTGTTTCCCGGTAACGTTAGCACGGTATTTACAGTCAATTTTGGAAATTTGAGAGCCTTTGCAATCATTCCTCCTGACCACCTTGGATTTTGCACGTGAGTGTGCAGAATTTTTTCACGTCTGTCACGTTCCATCTACGATAACTTTTGAACAAGTTTATGAATCCTGATGAAATTTTCACTACTAAATAAACAATCCTGATTCGGAAGCTGTCAATATTTTCTTGCTACGACAACTAGAGGCGCTACAATAGTTAAAAAGAAGCAGCCGAATACTAACTGGAACAGACTTTACCTTGGAACTTTTTTTTTTCATTGAATTTATTTTCCGTCGATCTTGTTTTTTTGTTTTCCGTGCTGAGCACCAATGCTACCAACGCCAGGGAGGCAGCTCCCACCCACACCTGGACCCTACCTATCGAGCCATCAACAAACTCATGAACCGGCGACCAAAACGGCTTTAATTCCCGTGAGCAGAGATGTTATGCCTCAGAACATCCCGGCTGTGCTAACTGGTATTGAACCCAGGCCTGGTGGGGTGAGAGGCAATCACGCTTACCACTACACCACCAGCACCGCTTACCTTGGAACTATCTGCACGAATTTCACTACCTCCCTACTTTCCAAAAAGGTTGAGAAATCATAAATTGCTTTAAAAAAAACATCGATTACCCCATGATAGTATGTGGTCACCTACCCAAAATCGGTTTTTTAACAATATCTGTAAATTTAAGGGGTGTTAGAACAATTTCAAAAGTGCTTTCATGATCCACTCGACTAGAATAACAACCTACAATAGGTCACTTTAAACGTTTTTTTTTGTTATTGTGACACAGTGTTATTGTTAAAGGAACAAATTAGAAATGAAAACTTTTTCCGGCCTGATTAAGCACTGTAAACTAAAAATCACCTGTACCGTTTACATTGTATTGGTATGACTAATTAGAGATAAGCATAGAGTATGACCCAAAAAATATTATGTATTGCTTACTGAATGCAAAGCTTTTTAAAGGAATGCTCAAAGTTTGCCTCAATCGAAAAATTATGCACAAAACCTCAAATTCTCTTTTTATGTTTTCTTGCTCAGTTTATTAATAAACTACTAGCTGAGTGTGCCCGGCCTTGCTCGAGATTCATTATTAGCTTGAGTTTATGCGCCGATTAAAAAAAAAAGCATGCTATATTGTACGTGACCTTCCCCCCTCCTCTTATCTCAGGGGCCCCTATGACCTTCACATACCAAGTTTGATTCCATTTGCTTGATTAGTTCTCGAGTCATGCAGAATTTTCTGTTTTATTTGTATGGGAGCCCCGCTTACAGAGGAGGGAGGGTTTCGAACCATCATACGAACCTTTCTTGGCCCCAAAAACCCCTGCATACAAATGTTCACGCCGATCGGTTCAGTAGTTTCCGAGTCTATAAGGGTCAGACAGATAGACAGACAGACATCATTTTTATATACCGT